GAAACAACTTCGATCAGATCAGGGAGGTGAGTATTTATCAAGTCAAAAACTCACAAAGCTCTCGAGTAGGTAAGTATAGTACTCACTCGTGGATCCAGTACCACGTAATAACATCTAGGAGCTCTGCTCCACCGGATCCCCATAGCCATGGCAGTCTCGATGATGTTGGTCGACATTAGAGAAACCAAACAGTCACAACTGCGAATATCACAAGTGGCCTAGCCACATTTAACAACTCGTGGCCTTGCCACGTAAATCACAGACTATGGCCCCAGCCACGTCTAACAGCCCATTGGCAACTCAAAAATTCTCTAGCTAGAGCTCACTTGTGCACAAGGGTTACACTTAATCGAAGTGATAGTCGACCTACTCTGGACGCTCTCGGTTTATCAAAACCATTTTTAAAACCAAATCAAGTTTTACAAGGCTTTTCCTTTTAAATCCTTTCAAATCACGGTTTGATAACCCCTTTGAAATTACTTTTCAAGCTAAATGGCATAGTGCAAATATTTATATACAAATCGGACTAAAACCGAAGCTTAAAACTTGCATTCAAAATCGTTTAATAAATGCATTAGCTATGCATATCAAACAAAAGAATACAAGGCATAGATTTTGATGCAAACATTGTGAAATGCTTGTTTCCCGGTTTCTAAAACTCTTTACGCGTATAACTTATCTATAGGTATATCCAAATCACTTTAAAAATACTAGAATTCACAAACTTCCTGTGGTTTCTACCAGCTCATGCTTTCCACAATAGCAATATATAAATTATTATAAATCCATTCAAAATTGCCTATCAAGGCTAACAGCTCATACTATCCACAAATGCTTTTAAGAAAACCAATCACATTTATTAACGTAAATCAATATATAATACAGAGATTTTAAAAATCGACACCCCCAACTCACCTCACAATAGTAGGACACTACGTCTCTATGACTTAAGCGTGTATCTAGCTAATTTCTACTTGCCGATCTCTCGTTACTTTATCCGGCACACCACCACGGCAACTTTGCTTCTATACTCTTCCTAGCATCCATTCAAACCCAATTTATTTAATTATACTCATAAATGGCAGCATATCAACTAACAATCTTTAACTAAATTTCATAGTTTTATCAGCAATTACTCACAACATTTACCACACAATCTATACATTTTAACCAACCCGAGTTTATACCACTCAATATAGTCACTTTGCATGCTTACCTCTTAGTTTAAGATTGAATTTCCCAAATGTGATTCACAACTTCTTCACTTCTAAGATTACCTTTGCTGCCACAAAAATAATCAATCAATATACATCTCATTTTTCCTTTTCACTTATGATTTCAAAACTAAAACACTTACCCATTGTTCATTTAGCTCCCAAATCACCATGGATTCTAAGGTCTACTTGCATGCATGCCTTGGGTCCTTTGAATCCGTGTAGGTTCTTGCTACCACAAACCAAAGCACACTTTAAACTTGATTTACAATGCATGCATGTCATGAAGGATGAAGATCTCATCACTTACCTTGCCTAGGGTTCACTAAGCCAAACCCTCCCTTTCCTTTTTCTTCTTCCCCTTTCTCCCTTTCTCTCCTTCCTTTCTTCCTTTCCTTCTTCCTTCTTTCTTCTCCTTTCTCTTTTTCTTGGTAGTGGACAGATCTCTTAAAGCAAAAGACTTGAAAATGCCTTTGGTGTCTCCATTTTGTTCTCTATTGGCGGATTGCCCAAGGTCATTTGCTTTTCATGTTGTTTTCTTTCCTTTTTCTCTTTATTTTCTCTATGGGTGGATTGCCCAAAGCTTCATGCCTTTTTGGCATGTTTTCTTCTCCCTTTTTGTGACAAAAGCACAAGGCAAAAGCCTTGAAAAGTTGTCCACCCGTTACACCCATTTTCTATATCTTTTTCACTTTTATTTTTCTTGGTTTCTTTATTCTATTCTTTTTCCTTTTCATTCCTTTATTTGTTCCTTATTCTCATTGGACTAACTCACTCTCCACTCACATTTCATGCACACATTATCTCTTTTTCTCATTGGTCCAAAATCTATCCTAATTGCCTTCCATTTGCCACATTATTTTCTTACTTTTATTTTTATTTCCTTTGCCACCCATTTCTTCCAATTACATTTCATGCACAACTTTCCTTTATATTTTATTTGGCCATTTATCCAACTAATCAAGTCTCATGCAACCCACATTTCACTTTCCTCATTTGACCACCAAATGCACCAATCAAATTACATGCAAATAATCTTAAAATTTATCTTTCCCTTTTTCTTCACATGGTGAGAGTACCACATATTCCCCACTAAGTTCTCTTTTTTAAGCACACGATAGTTTGCATGTAATAGTAACTTTTACATGTATATATCATACTCCTCATAATTTAACCTTCCTTGGTTAGTAAATATTCATTTTAACTTCAAATATTGTAAATTGCACTTAAGTCCTCAAACTTTTCTTTATTTACCGTGTGACCCTCTAAACTTTTCATCTTTATAATTCAGTCCTTCCAACATGTTTTAAACTCCAATTTTCTTCTATTTTCCTTCCTTTACATGTGTACAAATATATTATAAGGTTTGGACCTAATCAAGTTGTCACCATAATATTTAAATTTATACTTACTCGCTCGTACTCTATTTAATAAAGGCATGTAGGCCCACTAACGTCGTTTTTCTTCAAAATTCATTCCTACTTCTTCTCCCCCACATAGATTAGTCATATACTTCTTCTTCATGACTAACTTCAACCACACATAAAATATTAATATTTTAATATTATTTTATTTTAAATTTTTCAACTTGTCTCGTCGAGACCCAAAATGTCTCACTTTGCCCTGGTTCACTTTAGAATTGCTTTTTTTTCTCATTAATTCATTCTTGGTAAAATATTATTATTTAATTATCATTTTCTCACGTACAAAATATTTTATTCCAACATATTCCTTTCACCTATCAGTGCTCTTTCGCACTTAGATTTACATCCATCAACCCTTCGTCTTATCGATGAGATCATATTGACTCTTATACGAGGATACGGGGTGTTACAAAAATGTTAGCGATCTTAAGAGTTTGATATTGGGTGAGAATTTTGCTCAACAACTTCAATTGACACTTGTATCAATTGCAAGAAAGCATGAGAAGCTTAGTTCATTCTTTGATTATTTGGTAGCCTTAACAAATTTTGTTGGGGCTTCTTGCAAAAGGAAGGAGCTATTTTGGATGAAACAAATTGAAAAAATAGTTGAAGAAATTTCTCAAGGTAATATGGTAACTAGAAGAGGTTTGAATCAAAAAGCAACTTTAAAATGACCTAGAGACACACATTAGGGTTCACATTATGGTACAATTCTTAGTATGATTTCTTTGTTTTCTCCAACACTTGATGTGCTTGAGACTATAAAAGATATGTCGGTATTTTTTGATAACAAGGGTAAAATAAGCAGACTCATTAAAAAAATGAATGATTTTGAATTTGTATTCCTATTACACTTAATGAAAAAATGTTGGAAATCACAAACGATTTATCACAAGCATTACAAAGCAAAGACCAAGACCTTCCAAATGCTATGAGTTTAGTCAATGTAGCCAAGAAAAGGTTACAAGAATTTAGAGAAGATGGTTAGAATGATTTATTCGTAAAAATTTGTAATTTTTGTGATAAGCATGAGATTAATCTTCCAGACATGGATGCTTTCTTTGTGCACTATGTGAGATCACAACGTAAAGTTGAAAAATCCACAAAGCTTCACCACTTTAAGGTTAAGTTACTTTACATTGTGGTTGGCTTTCATCTTCAAAAGCCGAATGACCATTTTGATAATGTTAATACGGAGTTGCTTTCATGCATAACTTGTCTTGATCCAAGCCATTCCTTCTTTACTTTTGACAAACAAAAATTGATTCAACTTGCGAAGTTTTATCCGTTGGAATTTGATGATGTACATCTCTTGGCACTTGATGATTGACTTTATAATTATATTGCAAATATGTGAAGTAATGCTAACTTTGATGATCTAAAAGGAGTTCCTGATTTTGCTTGAAAGATGGTTCAAAAGCAAAATAATATTGGGTTTCCTTTGGTTTATATGTTGGTGAAGTTGGCATTAGTCTTGTCAATTGAAAGAGCATTTTTTGCTATGAATCTCATTAAAAGTATACTCCATAACCGAATGGAAGATGTTTGGTTGAATGATTGTTTAGTGACGCATATTGAAATGGATGTTTTTGAAACTATTGGCAATGAAGCAATTATGAAAAGGTTTCAAGACATGAAGTATTGAAGAACGATTTTGTAATTTGTAAACATTAGAAATTAATTTGAAGAGCATCGTATTTTTGGTATATATATTCATCATAATTTTACATCTCGTTTATTTGTGATTTTTTTTATTAACATGGTAACTCCCCTTAATTAACATCCTAAATCTGCCATTGATTGTATAATTATATATATCGACTAATTGTAATATATATATATATATAATTTACATAAAAACAATTCTATAACTTATAATAAATTTTAATTATACGATTATATACTTAGTAACTTTATTAGTTGTATTGTTTATATGATATATAGTTTAGTAGTTATTATATATACAAACTATATAACATATATTAAGTTGATATACTATATAATATAAATATATAACATATATATTTATATTTAAGTAATTTATATTTAACAAAATAATATATTTATTTAATAACTAATAAACAATATATTATATAAACAACAAAATAGTATTATATATTTTATAACATTAATTATTATATAATATATTGTTATTATCTGTAAATGTTATTTTATATTATAGTTTATATAGTAAAGCTTGTTATAAGTATTTTAAGACTAAATGTTCATTAAATAATATAATATAAAAGGGTCCATATGCAAAATTCTGATTGTGGTAGGACCCAAACTCGGGCATAGAAGAAAAGCACTCCAAACATCAGCCAACGGTTCCCTGATTTAAATATAGAAACTAAATTCTTTGTAATAGGAAGCACAAATCAAATACTAAATTGCTCAACTTTTTCCCAAAGCTTTCCCCAAATTTTCAATCTTCCCGGCCCTAGGCTCTGCCCCCACCCCTTGCCGTCCCTTGCTGACGGTTGGTGACCTCGGCAAAGCGCACTCATCCTCTGCTTCTCTGCTTCTTTTGGAAAATACCGTAAAAGGTCAGTGACTCAATGAACGCAACACATTTTTCTCGTGTTTATTTTCATGCTCCTTTTCTCTGTTTTAGTTTAGATCTATTCTATGTAAATTAGAATTACACCTAAAATGATTTTAAGGTTTCGGAAGTTGTTTAAGGTGTTGAGTTTATCCTTTGAAGGTGATATTGATGAACTAAACTATTCAAAAATTGATTCAAAAGTCCATCTGGAATTGAATATCTCTCGGACAGTTTTAGAGTGTTTCTTCTTTCCGCTCATACATAGTCATTTGCCTCGAGGAAAAGTCCCATTGTTCTTTGCATCTTTCGATGATTTCCAGTAACTATCTTGGTAAGCTCTCTTCTTCCCCTGTTTGCAATTGTTACATTTAGCCATGTTTTTATTTCAATCTAATAATAGAGGGATTACAAGAAAAGATAAGGAAAAAAATGCTTTCTAGCTGCGGCTAGGAAGACACAAATTGGGCTTATTTGGTTGCTGTAGATTTTTTTTTTTTTTCATTTCTTTCTGCTTTTAATTTGTTAAACTGGTTAGGAAATTTTCATTGGTAATTTTTGTCTTTTCCGACGAATTTACATTAAAATAATTGAAAATATGGTAGCTTTTGTCGATGGAATTTTGTAACTTTTTCCATCAGAATTTTGAGAAAAAAGAATGACAGTGCCGACGGATTTACATTAAAATAATTGAAAATATGGTAGGTTTTTTCCAATGGAATTTGGTAACTTTTTTTATCAGAATTTTGAGAAAAAGAATGATAGTGTTAATTATTAACTGAAAAAAAAAGAAGTTGAAATTAAGGTAAACATTTCAAGCCTAAATCACGCGACTTTTTCAAAACTTAAGTTCAAATTGTTAATAATGATGGATCATTCACATATGATGTAGATATGGTATCACAATTTCATTCACTCAAATCCTTAATATTCTCGTTAAAGCTACATATCACAATAATATCCTCATTAAGGTCATATATCACAATCAAGGTACATTTCACAAGATCAAAATTTCACCATACAATCTCATCAACTCAAATTTTTGATGTCTTATCAAAATCTTATCGGTGTATTATGAAAGCTCACATCAGACTAACGCATGCTCTGTAATCATTTTTAACAAAGTTTATATCATACTAGCATATACTCTAAGACCATTTGTAATAACTCAAGTCCAAGTATTACTGACTTTAACAACTTTTTAAGTTTAAACTACGTGGCTTTTAAAAGTTTAAACTCAAGTTATTAGTAGTAATGAACTTAGATCATCATATAAGTCTTAGTAATTATATTCACATTTAATATGAGACGTGGTATCACAATAATTAGTATGATTATAATTTGCATAAAGTTGTATTCGAATTTATTAAGATACACACCATTATATATTTTAAGTTGTTATTCATCAGAATATGAATTTTCTTTTATCGTATTATGTTGCAAAATAAATAATATTGAAAATTTAATTAAGAATTTTTTTTATTGAAAAGGAAAGAATTTGATTTGATTTTTGAATACCTACGATTGAGCTAATTATTCTTTTTCTTTTTTTCAGGTCAAATGAATAATAACTTTTAGCAATCAAACTAATTGTTTTTGTAGTATATGTGAGTATTTAAATTGAAATCAATTGATAAAAAGAAACAAATTTGACTGAAATATAAATGCATGCTAACCTTAATGTAATCCTTGGTTTTAAAATAAAATAACAAAAACAAAATTTTGAAATCGAGTGATAAATGTTGTAATAATAAAATTCCATTCTTACAAAACCTAGAATAAAGAATTAGGATTACATTAAGGTTAATAAAACACCGAAAATGCTAAAACACACGAAAGTCATAAATATGGAAATGCCTTCGTCAGTGTCATCAAAGGACAGAAATTTCTAAAACCCGAAAGCTCACAAGTAAAAAAAATATACCACACATCCATCCTCCAACGTGTCCATTTGCTAAAGCTCCACGTGACACGAAGATAAAGCCTTAAAAGACTTTCTTTTATATATAATTATAGATTTTAATTAAATGGTGTCTTGCTGTTTTTATTTTTATTTTTTTTGAATTTTTAGTTATTAGGTGTCGTGCTGGGCAACATTTGCTTGTCCTTTATTTTTGGGTAAAACGGTGCAACGTTAGGCTATTTTTTTGGATTTTTTTTTTATTAACGTAGAGAAGGAAGAAAAAAGTGGTTTAGATTTTTTCAGATTTTGCTTCTGAATTACTTTTCAGCTTCATTTTTTTAGTTTTTTAGCATTTTCTTTTAACTTTTTAATCTATATTTAGTTATTAAAATTATTTTTTTTATTAAATGACCAAACAATCCATAAATTCTATTAAAAATCCATAAATTAATTATTTGTTTGTATTAAAAACAAAATGATGCTTGTATTGTTGGATGGGAAAAGGGAAGGAAAACAAAATCAACTTGAGAAAGGGTTTCTCCTTCACCTATATTCATTCTAACTCTCCCCACATTTTTCTGGAGTCTTGTTATTTTGTTTTTTCGATTTTGTTCTATCAAGGATTTGAAGAAGTCAAGGCAAAATGCAAAGTTCATTTAATTGACTTCAAGATTATTGTAAACCCATTAACAATATTGGAGGAGGAGGGATTAAGGAAGATGTTGCTTCAATACTTGATTGCTTGTGTTATTTGTTGAATGGAAAAAAAAAAAAAACAAACCCCAAAATCAACTTGAGTAAGAGGAATAAATCTGATTAGGAATTTTATTTTATTGTATGATGTGTCAAATCTTTACCTTAGATATAAGTTTATACTTTTTAGCTCAGTAAATATTAACTGTTAAATACACAAATTTATATTTGAAATAGTTGATTTTTTTTTTTTTAAAAAAAAGAATGGATTAGATGGCATTATCCAAAAAAAAAATTAAATTAAAAAAATCAAAATGAAGATACATAATCCAGTCCTGTCCGTTTCAACCTCTCTACCTACGCGAATTATCTGCGAAAATTACTACCAACTCAAAAAATAGTTAGAGTTATCTTGATTTGGATAATTCCAATCCAATTTAATCTGTCGCTTTTAAAAATCTATAAGTAAGGAGATCGATTGAAGCACCACTCAATCTTCTTTACGAGGAAAAACAAATATGGTTGCAGCAAACGCAAAGGAAGCAGTGTGCGTGACCGGAGCCAACGGTTTCATAGGTTCATGGCTGGTCCGCACCCTCCTTGAAGACGGCTACACCAGGATCCACGCATCGATTTATCCAGGGTCAGACGCCTCACATCTGTTCTCTCTTCCTGGCGCCACTTCCCCAAACGTGCGGCTGGAGGTCTACGAGGCTGACATCTTGGACTACACCTCCATCCTCAAGGCAGTGGAGGGATGCCAGGGTGTGTTCCACGTTGCCTCTCCCTGCAGTCTGGAGGATCCCAAAGACCCTGACAGGGAGCTGGTGATGCCAGCCGTGCAGGGCACACTGAACGTGCTGGAGGCCGCCAGAACGGCCAAGGTCAGGCGCGTGGTGCTGACTTCCTCTATATCGGCAATTGTGCCTAACCCCAATTGGGATCCTGAAACGAAAGGATCCTTTGATGAGTCATCCTGGACAGACCTGGAATACTGCAAGAGTCGACAGAAATGGTATCCGGTGTCAAAGACGCTGGCTGAGAAAGCGGCATGGGAATATGCTGAAAAGCATGGAATGGATGTAGTGGCGGTCAATCCAGCCACATGTCTTGGCCCTCTCCTGCAAGCAAGCTTGAATGCCAGCAGTGCAGTGCTACAACAGTTGTTGCAGGGCTCCCAAGATACCCAGGAGCATCACTGGTTGGGAGCAGTGCATGTTAGAGATGTGGCCAAGGCACAAATATTGCTGTTCAATGCTCCCGCTGCTTCTGGTAGATATCTTTGCACTAACGGCATCTATCAGTTTGCTCATTTTGCTCAAACCGTCTCCCAACTCTTCCCTCACTATCCTGTCCACAGGTTTTGCTCCCTCTCTCTCTTGCTCTCTCATACATACATATATAATGCAGGGTTTGGTAGCTGACATTTCCTTTTATTAGGAAAATATTACAGTGAAAAGCATAATGGCGGGGCAATGATCATGTGTGATAGTTAAAATCACAAATCTAGGATCAGTGCCGTTATTTAACTTACTGTAACCTATCTGTTTTTTCTCTGTGATCATGATAAAAAATCATAATTTGTTCTTGACTTAATCTACACGGGCTTGGTGAAACTGTTGGCAACTGCTCTTTTGGAGAGAAAATATATGTCAAAACGTTTGTTGTTTTACCTCATAATTTATAGCGACTGACATCATGTTGTTTTGGTGATAATTCTGCTTGCTCTCTGCCGTTAATATATGCAATTATGGGATAAAGATACTGAGAATTGTTGGTTGGCAGCAGGAAGAAATTGATTTGGTAACTGTTGATAACAAATTTACACTTCCTGTGGTGTAAAGTTGGACTTGAAGTTAACTTATTACCTCCTTTAAAGCTCTTTAATGGTCTCGAAGTTAACTTGGTTCTTGATGGCAGAAGATTCTTTATATAAATTTTATCATTTCTATCATTGTGTGCAATTTGCATCTTTATCAGATGCTTTATGCTTGGTCCAATCAAGCTTTATGATTTCATATGCTTTGCGAACTATGTCCAATTTAAGCTTCACATGCATACATGATGTAAGGTTTTGCATAATTGGTTGATACGCACCACTTCACATTCTTTTTCAAAATTCACTTTTGTGGTAATTTAGAATAAACGGTATTAGGATTTAAGCTTTTGTAAGTCATTTACTTGTTTTCACTTAATATACAGGTTGGGGTTGTCTCACTATCTTGAACCTTTAGGCAGCATCCACATGTGGCTCACACAGGCAGATAATCATATTCCCAATTTATACTTGTTCAGGAAACTTATCTGATATAGTGACCTAAAGTTTGGAGAATAAGGCCATCAATGTTGCTGAGGGTTTCGTCTTAGACTTAGTAGCATGTCACTTTTGTTAGTTTTACTGCTTGTGATCAATGGAAAATGCATCACATCCCTTAAGTTTTAAGATGCTCTATATGTACCTAATCAGTGATTACTTTTTGCCTACTCTCTACAGGCCTTTACTGAAAGTCCCTAGATAAATTAATCATCCAAATTCTAGTTGCTGCATTTTAAAAATAAATTAGCTTAGATTACGTATCATCTCTTGTTTTATGATAAATCCATTAGTTTGAGGGAAATGATTTCATAAACCTCATTGTTCTAAGATCAAGGGAACATGAGAACCTTGATTTTCTTCTTTTCACAAAGCATAAATGATAATCCCTTGAAAAGAAATTGAAAATAGAAGACTCATCATTGTTATCATCAGCTCATTTCAAGATTAACAAATATCTTATTTAGGACTGTTGTCCTTTTCGGTTCTTGCCAGGTTGTCTTGTGTTTTATAAATGATATGTATTCTTTATCTGTTGTATTGTGGTTCAAATTTAACATAGTTAACATATTCAGGTTTACTGGGGAAACACAACCAGGCTTAGTTTCATGCAAAGATGCAGCCAAGAGATTAATGAAGCTGGGTCTAGTCTTCACCCCAGTCGAAGAAGCTGTCCGTGAGGCTGTGGAGAGTATGCAAGCCAAAGGTTTCCTGAAGCCGCCGCAGATGTTACAGTCTTAGAAATTAAGTGTGTTCTGTTATTTCTTATAGTTAAAAGTTTTTCAATAATTGGTTGTGTTTATTGAACTGTCAGTAAGCTTGGATGAAATAACAAGACTTGTGCCTGAAGGTCATGGATACGTACTTTGATTTATCTGACATTAACCTTCTGTAAATCAGGAGAAGGAAATCCTATATTGTTCGGATTCTAGGGTGGAAGAGTCCTATTCTGAATTGCTTTAACTCCCAAACTTCAAATTAAAGTAGAACTCTTATTTGGACTAGGTTACCTCGGCATCACAGCTCCATTTGCATCCAGACTGCTATTTGACGAAAAGATTTAGAGAGAACTTACCACTGAGGTAGCTTTCCATATAACTCCTCCTTTAACCCCTTTTCCAATGTGTATTCTTGGAGAAAGCTCCATAATCTTATCCACTGTTCGAATTCCCATCAAAATACTTTTGTCTTTTGAGCTCAAATTTCCATTGCCACCCATTATCAGTCCAAGCTCCATGCTCACATGCTCTCCTTTCTTCATGAACTGCCAACGTAAACAATCTTGGAAACTCTCTTTTTAGGATCATGTCTTCTAACCATACATCATGCCCAAATGATATCGATTTTCCATCACCCATAATAACTCCCATGTTAGCTATTAACTGGAAAAAGAATTTATCAGTAGGCATTAACGGAGATATGTTGTTTTTCCATGCATTTGAGCAGTTACAAGTTTCATTAAGTATCAGTGCACGTGATTCATAGTGATTCTTCATTGCCACAACGTGTCTCCATAAGTTCTCTGGCTCATACCCATATCTCCATAATCATTTGGTCAAAAGGCCTATGTTCTTTGTTTCTTAAATCAATAATTCCCAAACCTCCATCTTTTTAGCATTTCACACATTATCCCAATTTACATATTGCACCCCTTTATTGGTATTGGTACCCGTCCAAAGGAATCTTCTTTGAATCCACTCCAATTCGTTCTTAATCTCAAAAAGCACCTTGAACAAAGACATGAAGAAGATATGTACGTTATAGATTATTGACTTTAATAGTGTAACTCTGCCTTTGCATGATAACAACTTAGACTTCCAACCCTTCAATTTTGCTTCCACACCCTCAATCAATGGCCTCCAAATTTTTAGTGATGGTTAGTAGATTTCAACTGGTAATCCCAAGTAGGTAGTTGGTGGAGTTCCTACTTTATAGTGAATCCTTGCAATCCAATTACCCAGTACTTTATCTTTAATCCAGATTTAATTTGAAAACAACATAAAACTCTCTTCATATTCAGCAATTCTTCAATGTTCAGTTGGTAAAACATTAAAGTATCATTCACAAACTGTAAATGAGTGATTTGCAGCCGAAGATCGCCAATTGCAATGCTAATGCAAATCTTGTTCTTGTTTGCCTTTCCCATCATACAACTAAACATCTCAACTGCCATGTTAAAGAGCTTGCCTTCGCCCCTTTTGCAATTTAATTGGCTTGGTAGGTGTCCTATTCACAAGCATATAAACAAAAGCTAACAACGCACACTCCATAATCCATTTTCACTACCTATTTCCAAAACCCATCTTTCCCATAGTAAAATCGAGAAAATCCCCAACACACGTTGTCATGCATGCGCCTTCTCAAAATCAAATTTCAACATTAGTCTTTCCTCTCGATTTTTATGCATTAAATCAACCTCATCATTCGCTATCAAAGTTGAGTCTAATAATTGTGTACCTGATATAAAAGCAAACTGAGAACCCCCTATGACCTCACTTATTACTTTTTTGAGGTGGTTAGCTAACACTTTGGCAATGGTTTTTATAAACACAACCCACAAGACTAAGAAGTTTGTATTCTCTAAGTGTACTAGGATTCCTGTTATTTGGAATCCAGGTTGTAAAACTTTCATTCACATCATGGGCAAGATGCCCAAACATATAAAAGTCATTCATAAATATCATTCACCACTACCCGTTATGTTTTAAAGAAGTTAAAAGTTAAAACCATCTGATCCAAGAGCCTTGTTGCTATCATTTTCTTTAATGATTTCCTATACCTCAAATTCTGTAAACGGAGATTCCAATTCTTCCATTAACTGTATTTTCAATCTGTGTATTTCACATTTCTTATAGCAATATGTATGATTTGCAAAAATGTTTCACAACCTCTTTTTTAATTTGCATTGGCTTTTCAATAAAACCATTGTTCACCTTTATACTCATCACGTAAGTCGATCTCCTCCTTGTTGATGCCATCACATGGAAGTATTTGGTATTCTTATCTCCCTCCGCAACCCACTTAGTTCGAGATCGTTGTTTCCATTTACACTCCTTAATTCTAATCAAAGACCATAGCTTAGCATGTTTTCTCATTACCTTATCCCAGTTTATCAAACTCATTCTTTATGTCTTGTCATTCCATCTCCGAATCCTAAATCTCAATTTCTAAATTTTCAATTTTGCAAGGAATCTCACCATACTGCCTCTTATTCCAATCCTTGATAATTGGTTGTAATTTTCTTAAACCCCATCACAGTGTCGAACTTCTCATATTTCCAACCTTAGTAGTCTCCCCGTTGTTTTTTATCAACTTCTAAAACATTTTTATCATCTAGGCAATAATTAAAAAAGAAGATTGTGAGAAATAACATTCGTCATAAGCCCAATTCAAAAAGGCTCTTCATTATAATATTAATTATTTTACTTAATTTTTAGCATGATTTGACAACAATGCCTTTTAAACAATTTCAGACAAATTAAATGATTTCGATTTTCTCTATCGCACCTTTCAGACAAAAATTTTAAGATTAAATCCTGATTTCTCTCTCTTGCTAAATACTGTTTATCTCACCATCCAACTCTCTATCGCCATCCAAAGAGTAAAGATGATATTAAGGCATGTGTTTTGGGTTTTTAGGTTTATTGGTTTATATTCATAAAACCCTAAAGTTGAGAGATTAAAATTGATTAGACATATTTGTCAAATAGAACACTATACGACTTTGACAATTTAAACATGGCAATGAGCAAGCAAATCAATTAGTTATTAGGCATTGCATTTCTAATTTTTAGGCATTGCATCATTGGTTTTTAGGCATTGCATCATTGGTTTTTAGGCATTGTATGACTTAGGCATTGCGAGACTAGGTTTTTGGTATTGCATGATTGGTTTTAAGTAATACACCACTTGTTTTAGGTATTGTATGACTAATTTGAGGCATCGTGTGATTAGTTTTTTAGACATTGTGTGACTTAGGCATTACATGATTGAAGCATTTTGTCACTAGGTTGTAAGCATTACATGACTAATTTTTAGGCATTATGAAACTACTTTTAAGCATTGTGTAACTCAATCATTACGTATTTGGTTTTTAAGCATTGTGTGATTGATTTTTAAGTATTGTGTGACTGAGTTATACGCATTAGGTGACTAGATTTTAGGCATTGCATGACCTAGTTTTAGAAATTGAGTGATTGATTTTTAGGTATTGCATGACACATTTTTGATAAATTGATTGTAACATTTATTTTTTGTTTAATTTCAGCAACATGCCAAATGTGAAGCTTATGATTATATACGGTGGTCATTGGGTCAATGATACTTACAAGGGTGTTGAGACACGAGTGGAGGCTATTAGGAGTGATTTGTCATTTTCAAGTCTGATGAAGCTGGCTAAAGATGTTATTGAGGCAAACTCACAAAATCACGAAATCAAGCTACATGCATTGCTCAGTCATGTCGTAAGGGTTTCACACACAATTATTAGGGACGATGAAAATTTAGCAAGTATTCCATGAAATGAGAGGAGAATTGTAGTGTTTGTGACCATTAAGGAACTACATAAAAAAGTTAATCTACATGAACAAGCTGTTCAAAATAGTCATCACCTAAATTAGATTTATACTGCTTCACACATACCATACCATGCAGTCCTTAACCGACAACAATGGCAATCACCATCAATGTATGCACTTGAATTTGAGTAGTCTCGTACACATACGAGGTGTCTACAAATGTTGTTTGCACAATTCTGATCAGCATGTGCATTGAACCAAATACTTCATTCTTGCTAGCAAATGTATTGCCCGAGACTACAGTGGGTCCATTGCCATTCTCAAATGAGAGTCTATGGCGTTTGATTATTGATACCAAATATGGGGGTGTGTAATTAGAACCTTATTCTTTATGATTCGGGGGGTAAGAGAGTTTTTAATATATGGAAAAATATCACTTGTGCACTTGCCCTTTTGAGGAGCTTTACTTCTTTTTTATATGCAGGTATATGCATATTGGTTGAAGGTGGTGCCTGAATTAATTTTTGGGATGATGAATGGATCAAAGGAACCATCTTTCGCTTTGTTTTTCCCTATATCTATGCATTGACCATTAACAAAATTGGCAAGATTAAGGAGTTTGGCTTATGGGTGAATGATGCGTGGGTTTGAAATGTTCAACTTAGAAAAGACATGTTTGATTAAGAGTTAGAGATTTGGCAACAATTCAAGGAGTGTATTAGCCTAGCTTATCTTGATAGGGAACTTGAAGACAAGCTTATATGGAAACACACTCCAAGTGAAAGTTACTCTTTTAGCTCCTTTTGCTAAACAATCTTGAGTGCTAGTGCGGTTAATGTTGAAATGTTGAAATGTTGAAAAGTATTTAGGCTGAACTTGCTTTTTCCAAAGTGGAGGTTTTCATTTGGAGAGTCATGAGAGGTAAGATCCCAATCTAAAAGGAATTAGTCAAAAGAAACCTTCTCCAAAATGACTCGACCCTTTACCTCTTTTGTAACAAAGATGTTGAATCTGTCAACCACCTTTCTTCACTTGTCCAAAGTCATGGAGAATTTACGGATGTTGGATGGTTGAATGGAGTGTTCATGGGTGTATGCTAGATAATGCCATAATCTTTTTCATGGCTTGGAACGATATGTACATTGAACCATGTAAGAAGAAGGTATAGCAAATGTCTTTCTATATTATTGTGTAGTCCTTATGGTTGGTTAGAAATAAGATGTTTTTTTATGGAAAAATTTGGAATATGATGCAGTTATATGAGCTCATCAAGATTACAATAGCTTGGTGGGTCAATTATAAGTGGCTTAAGGAGAACTTATTCATTTTTTATATAAGTAGGCTCCCCTCTACTACTTGGTGCTTCTCTGAAAAGAATAGCAAACAAAGTCTTGGTGTTATGGCAAAGGCCCCCCACCGCCCCAATAGTGGTTGAAATT